TATAAACTATCTCATCTGTTAGAAAATTCTATTCGTATGATTATCTGACAGATAACATACTCTAGAATTGTAATTTTCGCTGAACATATGGAAAAAAAAGGAAAAATAAGAGGCGTTTACAAGCTATACCTAAACTGATGGAGAATATCTTCACTAAGTCCTAAATAACTCAATGAAATTCGCATTCATATTACACTTATTGCTGATAAAACATTTGCTGTTGAACGGCACTTCACGGGAAAATTATGACAGATAAGATAGAATAATTTATTCATAACATAATTATTATACATTTACAAATAGACCTATTTAATATCTATCAAAAACAAACGAATAAATGACCGAATGAACATGACGGTTCGTAAAAACATCTTCTTACAGCCTAATGATCATGCATTATTTACAGGTTGGCATGAGATTTCTCTCTGACATATAGCTATCCGGGAATTTTTTCAGTGGAAATGACCATCACATGAATGAAATTGTTAATATCACTAACACCATTACTGTTACTATTAGTACTGCTATTACAAATAAAATATCTTTAATGATATCGAAAATATGCATACTCATAACAGTAACAATAATAGCTTCCTGTAATAGCATCAACAGCTTGACACCACATCACTTTAACATATTACATTATATTTTGACTGCTATATACAATATAACATATGAAAAACTCCGATATACATACTGAAATAATCTTATAAAGATTATTCAATCAGATGTATGGTTACGTGATATCCGAGAAATCAGCCCGTTCATATCAAATCCTTGCTGATCCTCTTATCTATCAATTCGCAATCATCATAATCATCGCAAGGTGGATAGTCATAATTGTTGGCATTGTCACATTTCCACGTATTATCCCAATGTGCGAATATCAGCCGACACGGCAGCAGCTCAGGCATCACTGAGTGATGTGTAACAAGCATCGGAATTGAGGGGAATGATTTGTTGAAACCCTTAAATTGATACTGAAATCGTCATTCATCGACTTGTTTATGAATAAAATCAGTTATTAATCATGACATTCACATTCAATACTGAACATGATAGAATTTCCATCAAGTGGGCTAAGTCAATTAAGAAGTAAGATTCTTGAAGGTAAAAATTTCAGTTTATGAGAACTTTCGAAACAAGTAGAACTATTTTAAGTGATCTGAGTGTGTTTATGAAGCGTAAGCCTAGGCCAAGGATTTTATTGGAGTAATCCAACATTTTTGGATAAGAAAGCTCAGAAAATGATAGACTTAAGATAACGAACATTAATTTTAAATCCACGTTCGTTTCGTACTATCAAATAATGCGATACACCAGTCGGATTGTGTGTGAATGGTACTCGGACGCTCAATGCCAAACATTTCTTCTTGGATTCTGAGAAGCGCAAAACGAATGCTCCTTCTGGTTGAGCCAACAACGCCTTGAGGATTTTACTCCTGAAAATGCTATAAAATAAGATTGATAATATAACAACATTATTACTGGTGATATTAT